GTGTGTGTGTGTGTGTGTGTGTGTTTGTGTGTGGCATAATCTCTTACATCTTTCCATGTCATCTTTAAATTGAAAACTAGACTTTTAAAATAACATAATGTAACATCTTTGGAGATCAGATAATTCCTTACATTTAGTTTGCTGTTGCTATTTGTGACCTCTCAATCTTGTTAAGTTAACATGTACGGTTACCAAAATACTAATACTAATAATGCTTCTCAGCTAATTAGAAATTTCCTTAAACATCTCAAACCAATATCGTGCATCTCTCAGTCACTGTGGAGGCCTTTGTATACATGTTTCATGGGCCCACAACACTCAGCCAGACAAAGAGCAGCTCTGCCTTAGCCTTTACTTGTTGCGTGAACCATAGAGCTTCAAGGTCAGCCAGAGATGACAGCCTAGACTCTTCTAGGTCTTGTAGAGCACACACTTGGCTTGTTGCATGTGCTTTGCCTCTTTGACTTCTAGGGCTATGTCAGAATTTATCAAGGCCCCCATGGAAATGCTGTTTTCTGGTTATACTACTGCTTTCCCCAAGAGTCCTCTACCTCGGGGTAGGTGTGATATTAAACAATTGCCTCTACCTGTACATAGCAAATACCTCTGGGGAAAAGACCTTTCAGACTTAGCAAGATCCAACGCAGCTCCAGCTGTACCCTGGTAAGAGAGAGTCCCAGAGAACTACCTGATAAAACAAATGATGACGGTTCTGTTGGGATGGATTTAGAAAGAGCTCTGGCTGTAGATGGAGCTGACCTTAGTCACTGTAGGCTGCTAGTTTTTACCATGATTAAGGGCTGTCAGATTCTGGGGCAAATGTCAAGCTGGGGAGATGGAATGCAGGTAAAAATGCCATAAAAGCTATTGTTACTGTCTTTGTTAAAATCACAATGCATGCATATTCTTAAATAATGCCCCCCGGATTGTTGCAAGGTTTTGTTCATTTCCAGAGTTTTGAAAATTCTGTTTCTGGTCACTTTTGTGAGTTTTCTTAATGCTTTTAGGGAGGAAAATGTTGGAAGTCTTTCCTTGCTGTGTTGACTCACACCACTCTACTTTTCTGGGAACATTCTGTAATCAGAAAGGCTCTGCCTAATGTTAATTTTCTAGAATATTTTATTTATTTATTTATTTTTTCTGGTACCGGGAATCAAACTCATGACCTGGCGCTTGCCAGGCAGGTGCTGTGCCGCTGAGCTAAATCCCCAGTCCCCTTTCTAGAATATCCTAAATCATGCAAAATGTGTTCAAAGGTGCACTAGCTTACATTTCCACCAGCAGCGTAGAAGGAAGGGTTCCTTTCCCCTCATTATCTCTTCAGTACTCATTGTTTTTTGAGTCTAACTCTTGTGATTTGCATTTCTCTATTGGCCAAAGAGCTGACATTTTTTCATGTATTTATTGGCCCTTTCAACTAGCTGTGAGACATGTCTGTTAATTTGAGTTGCCCGTGTTTTGACTGAGTCTTTTAGTTTTGGGAATCCAAAGTTTTGTGTTCTTTATGTGTGCTAGGTATTCGTCTTCCATCCGAGAAATAACTGGGAATTTTTTTTTTGCATTCTATAGGCTGTCTCTGCTCATTGTTTCCTTTGTTGCACAGAAGGCTTTTAACTTTGTACACTCCCGTTTGTTGATTATTGGCATTGTATCTTGTGCAACTGGGTTATGTTAAAGAAGTCTTTTCTTATGCCTGTGTCTTCAAGGAGTGTGACCAATTTTTTCTTCCAGTAGATTGTTTCTGTTTTTATATCTAAATCTTTGATCTATTTTATTCTATGTTAGTGCAGAGTGAAAGATATGGATGTTGATTCATTCTTCTGCACATGAAGAACCAGTTTTCCCAGCACCATTTATTAAATAGACTCTCTTCTCCAGCACAGGTTATTGGCCCCTTTGTCAAAAATTTGATGCCTGAAGGTGGTTGGGTTTTTTTGTACATCCTTTCTTCTATTTCATTTCTCAACATGTCTTTTTTGTGCAAGTACTATGCTGTTTCTATTATTATAGCTTTGTGGTATAATTTGAAATTTGGGATTTTGAAGCCTCCTGCTTCACTTTTGTTGCTAAGGGTTACTTTTGCTATTCTGGTTTTCTTCTCATATGAATTTTGGATAGTTTCTTCCTAATTCTGTGGAGTATTTTGATTGTGATTGCACTAAATCTATGTATCAGTTTTGGAAATGTGGCCATTTGGACAATATTGGTTCTGTGTATGCAAGAACAGGGGATACTTTTCTGTTTTCTAATGTCCTCTTCAATGTCTTTTTATTTTTGAAGAGCTATAATTGTCATTACAGAGCTCTTCTACTTTCTTGCTTAGGTTAAATTTTATTTTCTTTTGGCTTTTCTCTGGTACCGGGAATCGAACTCACGACCTTGGACTTCCCAGGCAGGTGCTGTGCTGCTGAGCTAAATCCCCAGCCCCTTCAGTTAAGTTTTAGATCTTCAACTTTTTGAAGCTATTATGAATGGAGTTGTTTTCCTGATTTCATTCTCAGCAGGTTCATTGTTGATGTAAAGGAATGTTACTGATTTTTTAAAATTCTTTTTTATTTTAAAGAGAATAAAAAATAGTAAAAATGATACAGAATTTCAAAACAAGATGATAGGAAATTAACAATGGTTGTTATATTGCATATTGTTATCTTCAAAGTAGTTGTTCAGATTAT